TGCAATATGCGTTTTTGCTGCCTGTTGCAGCGCTCTAGTGCTGCACGGCAAAAACGCATAAAAAACAATAAATGTGGCGAACTATTTCGATAACTATACCAGACATGCAGCAACTGGATCTCTGAAGCTGCCCACAGTGTTTGACTAGCTGGAACTAATTTGAACGCCTAGACAGAGGCCTGTTTACGAATGCAGCTTTGCGAGTAAGTCAAGGGGAGGCTGTAGATATTTTCAACCACAAATGCGCAAGAACAGATTCGCAATTTCGGACTGCTAATAAGCACCATATTTAGACGGTTATTCGACTCACTCATCCCTAATATACCTACAAAGGGCTAGAGGCAAAGAAAGTGAATATATGCCATGAAACCACTTGTCAGAATGCTTAGCGAATACGCCCCTATAAAAAAAAAAACGTCGTTGAAATCACTTATATAGTAAAATATATGCCCTAAAAGTGCTTAATTATTACTAAATTGATAAAATGAACATCCCAACATGTATTAACTTCCCAAACAACTGTCCAGGTTCAATATAATGAACAGTAAAAATGAATGTTGAGCGGGACAATGTATTTCGAGCGTACTAATTTCGGAATTGAAGCGAAAATCTACCTTCTAATCTTCTAATATCCTCGAACATATCTTTATAGCGTTCCTCTTCGCACATTTCCTCTTCGAGCAATTCAGCCGGGCAATCAGTACCGCCATTCCCCTCCTGCACCGAGCTAGCTAAGTTCAGCAGTTCCACACTTAGCATGTGCAATCGACAATCATACCTGGAAACACAAATATGAGCAGAGTGTAGCTGTTTCTGATGCAGCAGCCCCCAACGAGGAAGCATCTAAATCACACTTTTTCTTTCTTCAGACCCTTTGGAAGTGACATATTTCGAAGCGTTTCCTCCTGGAGCAGTCCAGAAGTGCTCACAGTTTCAAAACTATTCATTTCACATTCAGAGTGCACTTACGGATCTCAGGCACTACCAATCTGCCCAACATCTGGGCGCTGACGATTCCATCCACACCTGCAAATCACCAGGAATTACAATTTTGTGAGAAAAAAAGTGAAAACAGAGATATGCCGAACAACAAAACATAGCCCCCAAAATTTACAGTATAATAATAACTAACCTTGCATTCGAACTTCAAAACGCAGTTTTTTCCCATAATTCGTTCGAGAATTTTTTCTCTCGTTTACCTCTTTCTTCGGGAGTTTTCCACTATTATTACGGTTATTGCAAAAATATCAAATGAAAACATAGCAGAAAAATGAATATGGCTCTGGGAGATCGGAGAGAGGAAGAAGATGAGCAAGATGGATTCACTTTTGATCAAAACAAAACACGTCGATTTTTTTCTTACTGTTCAACTGCATTTTCAGTCCTATCCAAGTGAAAGGGATGGAAATATTCCAACAGAAATGCCCTTGGCAATTTGAGAGGACTTTCAGCTCCAAACACGCAAGTCACAGTGCAAAAGATTCTAAAAAGCGGTGAAGTATATCATTTCGATTGGCTTAGAAGAACGTGAAAAGAAGCATCAACATGCTGTACATGAAAAAATCGCTACTGAAATGCAAGTACAAATAAAGCAGAGAGATACAAACGTTTGTACGAGAATCGTGAAATTCACTGCAATCTCCTGCCCAGCCTCCTCCCTCACGACTTTTCAGCTCTGCACAGTTGTAAAATTCACATGGCAGTACTCGCAGCAGCACCTGTGCTTAAGCAAAAATATCTTCGATTTTCACTGTCCTCTCAAACTGGGTCTTGCTACTCTTAGCCCAGTGATTTTCTTTTTTTGGCCACTGTAACTTCTCATTGACTTAGTTCTTAATAACGTTATTTTTATTTTGAAGCCTTTCCCTTCTCCCGCCCTCTCTCGGCATAAAAATCAATTCTGATATGTTCAACTCTTTCGGAGGACTAAATTAAAAAAATACCAGCCAAACAGAACTGCATACCCTGCCCTGATGAATTCTAATTCCTGCGCTGGATAGTGTTACATAATGCACAAGGGTTTGCACAGCAAATTTCAAGCCTAATTTCTTAACAAAAACAGTTAAAAGTTAGCCCGAAAGCTTAATTTTACAGTCAACAGATACTTTAAATATTCAGAAGTGATTCCCATATCACTTTTCTTGCACCAGAAAAGTGGTTCGTTTTTGAAGGACATGGTGCGGTGGTAACTGGTTGCTGTTTTCGTGCTGACGGTCAGTTCCGGCAGGGGATAATCAGTACCTTTACAATTCGTTCATTCGCGCTCACGGTAAATTGGTACTACAGTATGCAGAAAATTGAAATTCATCATCAGCTTACTCTTAGCAACCGTCAGAAAAGGAAACCACTGACAGTGTTGCCACTGCGTGGTTACTATTGGTATTTGCTACTGGTCGGACTACTCTCGAGTGCTTCCGCTTTCCGTGGAGAATAAATACGGAGGCGATTTTGACTTTGACTCTTAACTGAGAGACAGAGAAAAACTAATATAATTGTAATTTTAATTTTAGATGATGTGTGTTTATGTAAAAAGTAAGGGTTTAAAAGGAAGGGAATAAAAGGAAGGTGAATAAGATAATAATTAAAAGGAAAAAATTCAAGAAATAATAAAAACCTACCAACAAATAATCAGGTCCATCGATTCTCAGGAACATTCGCAAGGCGCCATCCACCGCAAACCTGTCTTCCAAGGAAACACAAACGCAATAAGACCGATTTTCGGCGCGCACGCTTTTGCAAACTCACCTATCAATTAAAAGCTGAGAATCTGCTGGATGAGCGATCAGATGCCGTTCCTCCGCCAGCCACTCGGCACGCTCGTCGTTTGCGTACAGTCGTGAAGCATAGCCAAATACCAACAATTCGTCCTGAATATTTGCCAAAGTTTTATTTTGCATCTTACAAAAGCACTCCAATTTAATCATCTGCTGCTCCATCGCAATAATTC